TGTATACATGTTAGCAAAACCTTCATATCCAAAAGAGAAGGCCGAACCAACTTCATAACCGCCCCCATGTATCCAGAGAAGAATTGGAAGACTTGTTGTTTGATTCTGAAAGGCCATATATATCAATACAAGTTTCCACAGAAGTTCTGATCAAAGCTACCAACATTTAATTTTGGTCGAATTATGTTAAGCGTGAGGCAGTTCTCGCTTGCATGTTTTGACGGCACCAATTGGATGCAATTTGGTCCAAATATTGTACCATTTCGAATACCTTGCCAAGGAGGTACAGGTTGAGGTTTCTAAAAAAGCTGTCTCGTTGAATTGTACGCTAAGGAGAAAGAACAAATCTTACCTCAAACCTTAGCTCACCTATAGGAGGTGAAGCATAAGGTATATTGAGGAAAATCTCTGCGGCATCGTTATTATCTGTTTTATACTCGAATCCTTGCACTTTTCCAGGTTCTAAGTCAAGCATCGGAGCTGTCGACGACAGCGCTACGAACGATATAGGAAGTAACAAAGGCAGCATTCTAGATAGCAAACATTTTGTAGTACAATAAAAGAATTTACATTTCAAAACAGTGCATGCACAAATAACAATTTTAACGCATTAAAAATGATTTTGATCATATCCTTCATTCAGAGATTGAAATAAAATGAACAGTTTTTGAGGCGATCGATGAATCACGGTGCTGCTGTTACCGCCTGCACTGCCACTGTAAAGTTCACATGAGCAGGATCTGGCTCACGTCAAGAGTCTGCACTACACAAAAGTAAACACTGCTTTTTTTATTTATTTTTTTTGGAAAAGAATAGGAATGAGGTCATGTACCAAACAACATTTTTTATTAACAGTCTTGCTAAACCTTCAAAAACAATAATTTCTATATTGAAAATATTTGTAAATTCTTTTGATGCATGGTTTATCAATAAGCGAATGCTTAAGTTTCATATTTGGAACAACTACGTTAGTAGAAAACTCACTCGCTTTGATGGTCTAAACTGCGACTCACTGCTATAGGTCTGTCCTTAATCTAGCAATGTGCTAGAATGGACTAAATTATTTATTTACTAGCTTGTTTACGGCTACGCTCGGCTGTTTCAAAGTATTCAATAGTTCTCTGTTTTAAATTGATTGCATTGAAAGAAGCACATTTAGTTCGCCAGTCTAGTCTTAAAAATGACAACGTAATGTTTAGCATGTTGCACAACTTTGCATTGATTAGAAGCATCACGACCACAAAAGAAAATAGTGGATATTGTCGAATGAGAGTCATATTCGTTATCAGCTCGTTAACATACCATTGTCCACCAATTTCCAGTAGTTCAAA